AAAAAATGTCTTTTATCTTCTTTTTTTCCTTTTTACACTAAAACAATTATTTGCCTCAGCCTCAGTGAATATCGGAGAATATTTACCTCGCCGCTCGAAGACTCCCGTCTCGGTAAATATTCCCCGATATTCACTTCGCCTTCGGCGAATAATTGTTAAATATTAACTATGGTCTACTAAAATTTTGACTTGCGGCAAAGCCGTATCCATAGTAACTTAAGGGCCCATTCGGCAGGTGAAATACTTGGTGTAAACGCTTATGTCAGGCATGTCATATATCAGTAAAAACGATCACGTACTATCGACGTCCGTCCACGCTGCTTAGCTTTGCCTTTTAATCATATCGACACAGACAAGAATTTGACCATGGACTTAGGAATCTTTATCAGTTTATTTTTAGATTCTGTTTCCGAGTGAAAATGTAGCCACAATCACTAGATTACATCGACACTATTAACATATGGCCAGTTAGCGAAATCATAGTAAATCTTTTATCTGCTATACCCAAACCCTAAAAAATAGATCAGAATTTTTTCAAGCGTAGAAGACTTAAACAGAAACATGGGATTTTGGCGAGTTCTGTCAATCACAAAAATGGTAACTCCTGGAGACTGCTCTATATTTATAAGTCTGATGGATATAAGCCAAAGCACGGCAAAACGTGCTTGACTGAATTTGTCCTTGAGCACAACCATAAAAACCACTTCGAGTGAATGAATGACCATTATTAAGTGCTGAGAAAACATGTTGTGTAGCGTCTGTGATATGCATTTCGAATAGATAATTGATAGAGGATCATTGAAACAAGAAGAATTATATTACGTATATGATGAAGAAATGGTGCAGTGGTGTAGTACTCACTATAAATATTTTTGATCTTACATATATTTCTTTTTTTATATATTTCATGTTTAAGATGTTGTTAATTATATATATTTATTTATATTCGTAATTATTTGTCCATATTTTAATCTATCTATGTAGGACCCTTCTGTAAATCACCTTTACAGGCATCGACGATGATGAATATTGTTCAGCTCGTCCGCTCTCAACGGGTGGATCTTAGTCTCAATTTCTCATTGACATCATAAAGCCACCCCCTCTTTTCGCTTATTATCCGTGCAATGCCTCAGATCTAGATCAGCACAAAAAATCATTTGCATTCTTCAGCGCTCGATAAATGCGGGAAAAAGCAATGACGAAGGTCAGGCTAGAATATATAAACATAGGCTAGAGTTTCCTTTGTACGAACAAAGAAACTTCATATCTTTTTGTGAACCTTGAATTCTGTTTGTTTAGTATGTGGATAGTTTCCTAATTTGGTTGCCATATCAACAACAACAACAACAACAACAACAACAACAACAAAAAAAGAGTTTAGAACGAGCAGGAGGAGTAGTTAAAAAAGAAAAGGATGTTAAAAACTATAACCATTGTGAACGTAGAGGCACCTTGCATAGCCACTTCGAAAACGGATTAAATTTTGTCTTCATGACATATTATTTCAATGTCACAAAAACGACCTTAATTCACTCCAAAGAAAGCGCGCAATTAGCAGAGCGGAGCGGTTCTATTTTTGTAAAATCAAGTACCTTTTAGCTTTTGCTTATCTTCAATATCAAGTTCTATAGTAAAGCCAGAATTTCCGATCAAAAAATACTGATTGACCAACACGAGCAATGAACATTTGGGCATTTTGTTAGCATGACTTTTGCGCGCTCGGATCTCGACATCTCAATAAGGATCTTGAAAAGAACCGTAAATATATGGCTTTCTGGGGAAAAAAGTTTTAACAGACGTCAAATACTAGGAGCCGTGCTAATCTTATCTCCGAGTATCGAAAAAGATGCAGTACGTTTAAAAAATATCGAAAAATTTCAAGAATCGCAAAAATAGGAAGCTATATGCCGTTCCGTTTTGACAAAAGTGCTTTCTCTGTTTCATTTTTTTCTTTTTTTCATTTTCATCTTCTTCAGTTTAAAATAATTTTATTCCGTTTTTCCATTTTGATCAAACAGTTTAGTTTGCTCATAACTGTTTGTAAAATTTATTGATATTTTTTCTTATGAATGTTGTTGATGTGCTGTTGCCATGACGATAGACCGACAGAACGTACCTGAAAATCTGGAAAACGTATAAGAAAAAGAAGTATTGTTATCGTGAAATAGCTAGAGAATAGCACACAGAAATGTGATAAATTGTCTTTGAAAAGTAGTTGTTTTTTTAAACCACAAATCCTAGTATAAACACTATTGTGACAATAGATGATTGCCTATCTATCTTATTTTCCAGTTAATCCCTGAATTGAATGGAAACCTCCATATCGTTGACCTGGATAAAATACGTGTTGATTACTATAATATAAGAGATTGGAATTTTTATTCTTTAACGGATTAGTTGAAATAATTGGTCTTTTACTCCTTTTTTTTTTTTTTTTTTTTTTTTTTTTTCTTTCTTTTTTCTTTTCTTCCGTATTTTTGAACTTGAACCACCTGCATTTCGCGAATGGATCTCTTCGTTTTCCCATTGGTTGCGAAGTTCTAATCTCTCCTATGATTGGACAGTCAAATGTCATTTCTAATGTGCAGTAACACACGTTTAAATTATAAGGTTTCACAAACGAAATGAGCAAAGTTCTGTTTATTTTGGTTGACATGGAGTCGCTTGAGGATATTTCCATGAAATTCATTTTTGGATACTTGTAGGAGCGTTTCGGTGCTTTGATATGGGTTCTGCTGCAAGTTCTGTTGGCTCTCCTCCCGGTTCAAGTCCAAGCTTACACCAACAGCATCAAACGACACCAATACATACGGCTGTGCCGATCAATACAAGCAAGATTCGAAAGGGTTCAACTGCTCCTATGAAGAAACAATCAAATGGGTTCATCGTACTAAGTTACGCGCCGACCAACACACCACTCGTGCGAAAACGAGGAAAAATCAAAACGGGCTTCCCAGAACATGGACTTATTCAAGACAAATACTTTCTCATCAGAGATCATTTCAATGGAATTGATCGGCTCAATACGTTAGAGACGTGTGGGGCACCGAATTTTCGTAAAGCTGGCGGATCATATCCAGTTTATGGCATGGGCCAACCTTCTAAAGATGGCCTTGCCTTGGTGATTGAAACCTTAATCTGCAACGGACATAAGGTAAGTCTTGTACTTTGTTGTCATATATGACCTAATAAGTTGGCGTTATTTCTTTACTAGTATGTGTAGAGTAGAGTTCAGAGTCGTTCCTTCTAGGCTGGATATAATCCTAAGCGGTGTCAGTACTACTTAAACTGCTTAAAAGAGTACTGCAAATATCCGTGACAATAAATTTGACACTGGAATATTTGTTAGGTTCGATGTATGCGGTTATCTTAGTTAAAAAGAGTGAAGAAATACTGTAGCTGATGACTCGTTTTCGTCTTGAATAAAAACCTACTAATGTTTACGTTTGTAGAGCTATTGGTCTTACATGTAATGTGTTGCTTTCGATTGGCGTACGTCGATCGTTTAGTTTTGTAAAAGGTAGTAATCTCTAGGCAAGCTTGTCGCAAGAAAACAAATTGTATGCAAATCTCCATACCACTTAGCTTGGAAGCTTGCTTCATGGGTTTTCACAGTTCTAATTTTTAAAGCTTTCTCTACCTATTGCTCTGTTATTATTTTTAATTATTGCTATTATCAGTTGACGTGTTCGTTCAACTTCCCTTTATTGTGAATCTAATATATTTCTTGTAAGTTTATTCCTGATGGGGAATTGCAAACAACGAGTTCTTTGTCGACCTAAAGATGATTAAAAGATAAGTCGTTGAATTCGGAATTATTCAAATTTCATATACTTGCTTGTAAATCTTAAAGGCTGGCAGATTTTCTTTTTTATTAATAATGTCTAATAGAAGAAACTATTTAAATCTTCTACAGGCAAATAGCTAGATATTATTTTGAGTTCTGAAAATATAAAAATTAAGCCGAAGATGGTGCTCTTTGATATAAAGGAGAAAATCTTGATTAAAAAGATTAAAAAACTAATTGATCAAAGTTGAATAGATATTATATAAATTGTAAGATGGAAAAAAATGCTATTATATGCATCAGTGAATATAAAAAAACTTTTAAACTCAATTTAAAAAAATACATTTTATAATTTAAAGGTAATTCAAGTCAGCTGATATTATATTTTTTTGGATATCAGAAGGTGATAATATGACTCTCACTTTAGCTGTAGCCAGTTTGTCTTTTACTTACCAACTTTTAATTCAAACGCGTTTTTAAAAGCACTTTCAGAACGATTTCGTAGGCTGTAAGAATTGATTGACAGCGATGTGTAATCCCTATGATATGGTAACTATTTACTTAAACTATAGAATATTGAAATTCAGAATCTTAAATTTAATACTTTTGGAATATTCGTTTTTTCTCCTTAGATTAAACTATGGCTGCTAGAATTAAAAAATTAATATATTGAAAAAATTTTTTGACATAATTGCTAGGTCACCATTGATATGAATTAAAATATAGACATATAGAATTACTTTCTTTTTACTAATGTTTAATCAAAAGATATGCAATCATTTTTAAATCTTGAAATTAATATTGATTTCATACAAGCTGTTTTATGTCAATCAAAATATTGAAATTAATTTTCCACTTTTTCAGGAAATAATTTTGTTGTCATATGAGTTAATAACTGTCATATATATATATATATATTCATTTTTGTTCTGGTGATGAAGGTTTCACTCATTTATATACTTCAATTCATTTCTAATGAATACTTCGTAACTAACTTGCATGGACTGTATAGCGGCTGACAAAGGTGCTTTCACATACTTTCTGTTCAATCCGTTGAGCTGTGCCACTCTGGACGTAGGTGTAGAAAATATTAAAGATGACAAACCTTGTTCAATTGTTTTGTATTCTTATCTTTTCAGGAAATTGTCTCTTTCAATCTACGAGAGGAACCAGTGATCTTCCTCAGCTTAAATCATGATTATATTCCTTACTCGCCACGAGACCCAGGTAGCCTTAAAGGGAATATTGCTAACTATGGAGTAAAACCAGAAGAACTTGCCGATACAGAAATTAAAATACGTGAAGAGGTAAAATGGATAATGAATGAATAAGATGAATAAATGAGAAATAGGGGAAGATATGGATATGATTAATATTATTGATATAGACACCTGCTTTGGCAAAGAACCAATCAGAAACCAAGTAAAATTATCTCAAGATTAGTTAATAAAGGAAATTAACCTGAACCAATTAGTAGCTTATAAATATAAGCAGCCTAATTGTTTTTTTTATAAACAAAATACTTTGAGGGGATTAGAAAATGACTCAATTGATTTTTAATATTGTTCTGTTTTTTTCTTTACCATTGACTAGGATTTAAAAACAATTATTGCATATCCAATCAGAATACACGGATTTTGATGGTCCATTATTAGTCTGCTATTTATTTATATTTATTTATTTATTATTATTTAGTCTCCTATTAAGGGACTGTTCATATTTATTGGTTGGAGGAGCTTCGTCAATCTTTAAGGGGTACCAAAGTTTTTTTAAAGCCAGACTTGGGGGAGGGGGGTGGGGACTACACGAAATATAAGATAGTCATCATATTTTATATCCTAATGTCTGTAATTCTGGAAGTTCTGGAAGGGGGGGGGGGGGGGGGGGGGGGGGGGGGGGGAGTGGAGTGAGAGAGGGGACAAATGAATTTTTGGTTTGTAAAGATGACGTTATTTTAAAATTCCACATAGCACCCTGCTGGGGGACGAGGATCCAGGGAGGTGTATTGGGTTTCTAGTGACCCCCCCTCCCCCTTGAAAATGAAAAATAATAAGAATAAAGAAGAAGATAAGACCTAAAAAGAACTCTTTGTGATGCCTTCCTAGATAACAGTCTCTCCTCTTCAAATCAGGGGCGGATCAAGCCAAAATTTTGGGGGGGGGGCTAATTGAGTTTAGGGGGGGCTAATTGAGTTTCTTCCGTCAACACAACAGAAAACATTATAAAAAAGCATTGTTTTTTTCTGCTGAAGGGGGAGCTTCAGCCCCCCTTTGCCCCCCCTGGATCCGCCCTTGGAAATTGCCCTAATAATAGATATGTCTGCCAGTATTTAAACTAACAGTGATGAGTATAAATAACTTATTTCTTTCTTGGTGGTAGATTATCAAGTTATCTGTAGAAGAAGGAGGCAAGTTTTATTTCTATAACGACGTCGAGAAATTTGACGATGAGCCTCATGCATATAACATATCATATGAAGAAAACGTCTGCGTCATGGATGAGATCTACAGCCGACAGATATTCCTGACCCCTTTCCTCAGGTATGGATGTCATACCTTGTCTATATCATGTGTTAACCTCTCTTTGAAAGTATAGATGTGGGGTGGGGTGGGGGGGGGGGGGTAGTGTAACMCTTAAMATTAAATGTTTGTCCTTTGTAACATTAAACAGCAAAAAAAACACAACCTTTACCATTAAACCCAGCCACCCATCTACGTTCTCCTCATTTCTTGGGTTGTCCATGTTTTTACTAGTCAAAAATGTTCTTTGTTATTTGGACTAATCACAAGAGTAGTGTACGACCCCTCCTGGATGCATTGCAATGCACAGGGAGCCCAAACTGGGTGTTTCTCACCACAAGGACCTCAACCTTTGATGATGTAACCATGGCAATAATATAACATGAATCTTTATGTCTAGGTTTTGCCGTGTTCCGATAACAGCAACCAATGCCCCAGAAGAACAAGACTTTGACCAGTTCATCAATGCCGTCAAGGACATCCCACAGGTGTTTGACACCAACTCGTCAGCTCCTTTGCCTGCTATGGTCTTTAACTGCCATGTTGGTCAAGGTCGCACGACTACAGGCATGGTGATTGGCTGTCTGATAATGTGCCATCGAAGTGGTTTTCCTGCTGAAACAAGGTATGTAACAATATTGTAATACTCTGTCTCAGCAGAGTCTAAGATCCTGGGTATAAGATCACCATCCTTGCAGCAGGGGCCGATCCAGGGGCGGTAAAAGTGGTGACTAGTCACCCCCCTTTTACTCAAATATCTCAGTTTATCGTTAGTATTACCATTAATTGGTTACCTTGGTTACCTGGCAATAGACCACTTTACCTTGGGCGCAAAATTTTGCCATTTCAGATCATATGTCATTCCCTAGATTATAATTTCTTTGTTTAATGGATGCACATAAGACACAGGAATAAGGATGCAATTAAAACAAAGAATCTTAGGCCTAGGGCAAACGTCAAACTTTCCATGCACCGAACTCAATTACATCAAAGAATGCCGTCTCATTATCACCTGATATCCATTGTTTTTAATGAGTTCGGTGCATGGAAAGTTCGACGTTTGCCCTAGGTCTTATTCTCAAGAGAATGACACGTGGTCATCTGAAATGGGTAAAAATTACCCCCAAGGTAAAGAGGTTAATTATGTATTAATTCATATATTTCACGCTTTTAGTAGTGAGAGATAATATCTATATTGTTGTGTTTTTTTTACAAAACATTATTTATTTAGTTCTATGGATCCTATTGCAATGGACGAGAATAACCCAAATTACGAGAAAGGCGAGTTTCGTTTGATCCAGCAGCTGGTCAAATCTCTACCAAACGGTCTGAAGATCAAACAAGAAGTGAGTATAAAGAACCATGAAACAGGAAAATGATAGCAAGGTGACAGAGCTTGGGTGTTGTGTTTCCCCTTTTCAGACCACAAGGCACAGTGGACGATCCAGGATTTTTTTAGGGGGGGGGGGGGGGGGGCCCCACCCAGGATTATCGCTCTAGGGGGGTGCACCATCCAGGAGGGGGGGGGGGGGGGGGGGGTGCACCATCCAGGGTTTTCGTTAAGAAGGGGTTGCGTCCTTTTTTACAAACTCAAACACCAATAATGCATTAATGTCAGCTCTTCTAGGCAAGTGTTTGCTCCCCCTGCAGCCATCCTCTAGATCCGCCCCTGAGTCATTCCCTTGAGGATAAGATTCTTTGTTTGAGTTGTATTCATATTTATGTGTCTTCTCGTGTGCAACCGTTAAACAAAGAAATGATACTGTAGGAAATGACACGTGATCTGTAATGGAAAACATCGCGCTCAAGGTAAAAAAGTCTATAGAGGCTTTGCACCATAACGTGATGGCAGCCATGACAGAAGGCAGGAACAATTGAATCTGTTCTAATCTGATTTACATGAGAAAGAATTCAGTTTCCATGGGGAAAAGACTTTTGTTGTGCCTCCTGTCATGGCTGCCATCACGTGATGGTGCAAATAAGCCTCTATAAGGAGTATTATATTATATATTAAATAGTGATCTTGTGAATATTGCAGGTTGACTCAGTAATCGACATATGCGCAGACATGACGAACATTCGTATGGAGATTGTAGAATGTAGAAAAAAGTTGCAGCATATTGACGGTGAAGAAGAGATCGAGGTAAGAATGGCACGTGACCCGCACTTCACGCTTCGCATGAATGTAAAAAGCTCAGTGCCGTAAGCGTGTCGTTCCGTGACCGTGATGTTTTCTAGAATTATAATTGGTTTGTTTTTTTCTCGCGCAATGTGATTCGTCCGACAATGCTACAAGGCTCGTACATAACGTGATGGCAGCCATGACAGGAGGCGTTACAATAGAGTCGTTCTCCCTTGGGAAACTGAATTCTTCTCATGTAAATTAGATCATGGCTGCCATCACGTGATGGTGCAAAGCCTCTATAGGTATAGAAGTCATGCAATGTCACGTTCTACATTCCAGACGTCACGCATCACCTCTACAAATCAAGGTCACTTTCCATTGCACATGTCACGCTAACTTACGCAAATGCTCATCCATCTCATCTACCTCCCTGAACTGGTTACACTACATCGATCTACATATGGTGCATATGTGTAGAGTTAAGTCGCTTTTTTTTTTCATTTCAGGGGCAGAATGGTCGAATTTATTGGCTGAAAAGAGGAATAAGTTACTTGGAGAGATATTTTTTCCTGATCATTTTCAATGCCTATCTTCACGAACAGGTACCTATTCATAATATAACTCAAGCAGGGGAAAATTATTACGTAGTAACTTTCCCTTGGTTAAGAAATTCAACCCTACCTTCAAATAGAGAAGATTTCGTATGAAGTGCTGCGCCGTGATCGGATCAATTTCATTGGCTGAGCAATGAACTCGCGCGCTATGATTGGTTGGACGTGCCTTGACCGTTACGGTACCGTGTCCGAGCAATTTCATTGTCTGAGTAATGAATTTGCGCCGCGGTGATTGTTTGGACTTGCTGTGCCTTGACCGTTACGGTACCGTGTCCGAACAATTTCATTGGCTGAGTAATGAACTTGCGCTGCGGTGATTAGCTCAAAGCGATGTCGTTTCCTCGTTTACTGGGTTTGTTTGTGTTGTGAGTTTCAGGGTCTCTCTTGGTCCGTTTTCCCAGCGTCGCCCTAAGCTCTTTCACTCACTAATTCTTTGATTTGTATCCAATATATTGTCTATTTATTGATGATTCTTTACTCGATCCTCTGAAACCATACTACAAATCTATGTGGAAGAGGGTTGAGTAGGTATTTGTTTCGTTCTCTGGATTCTAATGACATCATCTCATTCCAGTTCCCTCTAGTGTTCTCTCAAACATTCTGTAAGTGGATGCGTCATCGTCCGTGGTTATACCGAATGTTAAGCCACATTGACGTCATGGAGAAAGGTGTGACGTCAGAGTTCTTTTCCAAGTTAAACGAGCCCACGTGTTTGGTAAGCGGGCATTATAGTCTGAACCATGCGCATCTCGCTGTGATTCTAGACTCGCGATGCGCGTATTTTCGTATTGTAATTCTTTATGTAAATCTCGCGGTCTCACGAGCCAAAGGCTCCCGATTAAACGCTCGTTTCCCGAAGCATTGGTAGCGCTCACCACCCGTGCATTAAACTGATTGAATTATGAATGAATAAATGAATAAACTTTATTTTTATATTTAAGGTAGCGGATGAATATCTTGGCATTGATGTCCTAAGTACACAAAGAGAAGTTCAGGTAGGGCTCCTCAAGCTTCTAGATTGAAACAAAATCAATCGTGATCTTTTCGAGAGAAAGTCGGGATGCGCTCGAGATGTAGTCGTGGTACGATCGGGATGTTGTCGATATTCCGTCTTGGTGCACTCTTTCGAGTTTAAAAAACTAAACCAACTGCCAGAATTTAGAGAAACCAAAAGATCGTGTTATTTCTATCCTATAAAGAACTATATATATTGATTCAATCGTCTTGTTTTGCTCCAGGTGTCTAACTTCAGAAAGGTTCCTGGACTGCCTGTATACGGAATGAGTCAACCAGCCAGAGAGGTACAGTATTAATCAATAATGATTAAGGTTTTTATCAAATTGGAGGCAAACAGGCATTTAAATATTTTCCTCCCTATTGTTGATTTCATTTGTCTCCCATTTTCTCCCTTCTCCCTAATTTTTTCATCTTTTTCTCCCTCCGCAAACGAACGAAAAAAAAAGATATTTATCAATTTGGAAAATAATGATTATCGCTCTTTTCCCTTTTCATTGTGCCTCTTCCTTCTCCCAATATTTTTTCGTCGTTTCTCCCTCTTCCCTGTCCTTTTACAATGGTCGCTCCTCCCTTGTCCATGACCCGTTCCTCTGGCCGCTCTAGCCACATTACATCTTTACTAAACCACGTTGAAAACCTTACGTTTCAGGGTCTCGCCAAGGTCATCGAACTGTTGACGGATCCCAAGTATTCTCACCCTAAAGTGGTGGTATTTAATGTTCGGGAAGACGTAGCTATAGAATGTGATGGGGATTCATTTAGTCAGCGAGAGGTATAAAAAAATTTTATAATTAACAACCATCGCTCCCCATACGGGGCTCTTCCGTGAGGTTCCCTCCACACGCACTACCACTACATTCTATATTTACAACATACAACACTCGACTCACATGTTGCTTTTTATGGAGGGAGGAAAACCAGAGAACCTGGAGAAAAACCCTCGTGGCAAGAGAGAGAACAACACATCAAACAAACTCAACTCACGCGTTGATTTTATGGGGGAGGAAAACCAGAGAACTTGGAGAAAAACCCTCGTGGCAAGGGAGAGAACAACACATCAAACAGACTCAAGCACGAGTGGCGTAGCGATGATAGAGCCAGCTCCCCCCTCATCCATGCTACTGGAGTTCGACCCAGACTCGGTGTCTTATGTGAGTAGAGTTGCTTGTTGGTTCTCTCGTGTGCTGCAAGGGTTTTCTCCGGGTTCTCCTTTTTTCCTCTCTACAAAAGTCATCAGCTTTTAAATACCAATCTGATCATGGAAGAGGACGACAGGTTTGTTAGCCACTGGCTATTAAGCGCTACCCTCGTAAAACAAGGACTATTTATTTATTTTTATGACATACTTTCATGTTTCTAACTCGAAATTTTCTTTGTTTTACTCTACAAGCTTGGTAGTCTCGCCCAGCACATCCCTTACAAAGGACTACAGTATTTCGAGCTTGAGGTTCGCATAACAGTTGCTCTTAAATTTCTAGCTAAGCAATTAACGTTCATTCGATGACAATTATGTTGCTATTATTTTATACAGCGTATGGAGAGTGAGCTGAAGCATAGGGTTACTGTAGGTGGACAAACAACACCAGTTCAGGTTAGTAACGTAACGCAATGCCTGCTTGCCCGCTTGCCCGCTTGTTCGCTTGCCCGCTTGCCCGCTTGCCCGCTTGCCCGCTTGCCCGCTTGCCCGCTTGCCCGCTTGCCCGCTTGCCCGCTTGCCTGCTTCAGACCTAAGTGCTGTGTTAATGATATCAATTATCCGTTTCAGGTTTATATGGACATCAAAGACGCCTACGAAACAAGACAGTTCAAGAGTGTGTTAACCATGAGAGAAATGCACGAAAACCAGATGGAGAAAACACCATGCCTTGTGTATTACAGATTACCGGTGCCCAAAATGAGAATCATCGAGGAAAAGGTGCGTCTTTATGACATAAGCAAATCTAGGGGAATAGCGAATCCATGGGTCAGTTGAGTTCCATGGACCCCTCCCCCACCCCTCTCCTTGTGAGATCTTCAGAATGAAACTGGAACTCGCTTTTTTGAAGGCGATCGCGCCAGCTTTTTCTTCGTGGGCGTCATCTTGGAGCCCCCCCTTTTTGAAAGTCCTGGATCCGCCACTGTGAATGACCGTTATTAAGTGCAGAGAAAACATGTTGTCTCGCGTCTATGATATGACCTTCGCACAGATAATCGGCGTCCATTTTGGACCCTCTATTTTTAAGATCCAGTACCCACCACCTTAGAAGAGTCTCTTTGGGTGTCAGGGTACCCCCTTTCTGACCACAGGATTTGTCTCAGAATGTGGAAAAATATAAAATCTCCCAGAATGTAATAAGATTGATATGTTTTTCGACCACATGTGCAATCATTACTTTGTTAACTAGTGTTGCTTGAGAAAATACATAAATATTGACGAGGCCTGAAATATAGAAATATTGTTCCATAGTTGAGGAACCTTCTGGTCTGAAATAGGAAAACATTACGTCGAAGAAAGAAATTTCAATTACTGTTTGCGTATTATTTTTCCAACATTTCCGTTCACCTTTGAGAGCTTTAAGTAGCTCAGGAACAGCTATAATGGCTATGACGTTACAATTTCCGGATGACATAATTGAGATGACGTCAATCTGTAATAAAGGTTTAATACGATGCCATTAAAAGCGTGTTCTTTTTTTGTTTTATCATATGCAGGATTTGGATCGGCTTATGTCGATAATTAATTCGTTGAATGAGATTCACACGGATGAGGACGGCCCGGCGCTTGTATTTTTCTGTGAATCTGGACGCGAGCGGAGTACGACTGCTATGACTGTAGCTTCACTGATTTACTGCAATAAAAAGGTATTAATAAAGGTTACTATTTGGGCTGATCTAAGTCAGGGCACAGCTAACTCACAGATTGAACCCTGAAACAACCTCTGCGCTGATCTAGGTCAGGGCACAGCTATCTCACAGATTGAACCCTGAAACAACCTCTGGGCTGATCTAAGTCAGGGCACAGCTATCTCACAGATTGAACCCTGAAAC